GAGGATAAGATCACCATCCAGCAGATGTCCAGCACCAATATATAGCAAATTTGATGAAAATGCATTCTGAAGTTTTGAGATTTTGCTTATACAGGCTGAAATGAAACAATATGCAAATTAGCTACTTAACATGCATGACCATGGCTCCAAAACTAATCATGTCAGCACATTACCCAAGGTTATCTAGGTACCAAATTTGATAAAAATTACACAGACAGAAACACCAAACTCATTACCTCCCTTGTGTGTTTCGCACACACAGGAGCTAAAAACATTTCATAAAAGTCAATATGACAGCCAATAATTTTGTGATTTTTTTAACGACATGTGAAAATGTCTTTTGCAAAGATGTTTTCTGTAAATACAACTATGATATTCTACAGGATCAAGGTTTACTTAAATATTTGTTCTCGAAGTTGCATTTAATGTGTTACTTACCTTGCCGACAAACGCATTCATATCCTCCGTAGTTGTTGTCACAGTACGAAGTATGGTCAGATACGCAAGGGCTTATAGTTAGACATTCGTTTACATCAAGCTGACAAGTTGGCCCTACAAAATTACTTGGACACGTGCAAGTGAATCCATTTATGACATCAGCACAGGTACCGCCATTTTGACACGGGGCCGACTGACACTCATTAACATTCATCTCACAGAATGTACCTTCCCATCCAGGCTGGCACGCACAGGAGTATGTATTCACACCATCAACGCAGGTTGCACCGTTTTGGCATTGGTGGAAAATTAGACACTCGTTGATGTTTGTCTCGCAGAATGTCCCTGTGAAACCAGCTAGGCAACTACAGAGGGCAGCATTCACAAGATTGAAACACAACGCCCCGTTCTGACATGGCTGCGATGCACATTCATCAAAATCCTGATCACAACGTGGCCCTGTGAATCCCGGCGGACATTGGCAGTCGTATCCATTAAGCTGATCAACGCACGTTGCTTCGTTAACGCAAGGATTTGAAGCGCACTCGTCAATGTCATTTTGACAAATTACTCCATCATATCCAGCAACGCAAAAACAAGCGTAACTATTAACACCATCCACACAGGTACCGCTGTTCAGACATGGGAAGCTAGCGCACTCATCTATGTTAATTTGACAGTTGATACCTTGAAATCCAGATGCACAGATGCATGTATAATAGCCGATAAAGTCGTTACATTGTCCGCCATTTTGGCATGGATTCGAAGCGCACTCATTGACTTCAATATTACAATTGGGTCCCATCCATGAAGGCGGGCATGTACAAACATAAGCATTGATTTCATCCTGACATGTACCACCGTGTTGGCATGGCAATGACGTGCATTCATTGATTTCTACCTCACAATGGATTCCTGTGTATCTAAAATGAGAATAAGATTTTTATAATTTCAACGAATCCCCCAAATGTTAACAACATTATTGTTTTTTCTTACTGTGAAAGAAACCTTGAAACAATAATCATAACATGACTGCTTTAATTTCTTCACATTTTCAGACTGGACATGATGTATAAAGGACTTACCCGCCAGGACAATCGCATGTATATGCTGCAACCCCATCCACACAGAAAGCCCCGTTCTGGCACGGCTGCGAGGCACACTCATCAATATTGACATCACAATCAGTCCCGGCCCAACCAGCGGTACACGAACACTGATACCAGTTTGTCCCGTGTGTGCATGAAGCGCCGTTCTTACAGTATCCACGGGCACATTCGTCAATATCACTCTGGCATTGGTCCCCTTCCCATCCGGGAGCACAGTCACAGAAATAAGCATTCACCAAATCAAGGCACTGAGCACCATTTGCACAAGGCTGTGAGAGACACTCGTCAATATTTGAGTCGCAGAGTACACCTACAGATTCAAGTATAGATTAATAACTATTTGGGTAATAAAAGTACATTTATATTACTATTTTAATGGCGATTTTTTTCATTAAATCAGATCTTAATTTCAATATATGGAAGTTCGAGGATATATATATAACAAAGGTATAACTTTGATATATAAGTACTGTGATATACAAATAAGGAAGATTTACAGATCTTATGATCTTGCAAGTTTCATGGCACTTCAATCAAACTTATTCTAACCAACCACACTACATTACATTTACACAAACAAACAAGCAATACTATCACCATATTCCACATTCAAGAACTTACTTAATTCACGTTTTACAAATCGGTCACTAGTTTAACAGCACTGAGCTCTTTTCGTCATCACCATAAGCAATTGTGGGAATGTTTGTTTGCCCGGTCATTTTTGATCGTCATGCAATTAATGCATGGAATATCTACAAATTTCGCTATAATACCGTAGCAACACACATGGTTACAAAATGATACGTGTATCTATGGCAAAAAACATATTAAATGCCTCAAATAGCGCAAATACAGTATTGCTACCCTAATAAATCCCACAATGCATCATACTTCACAGTAGAAGGCTCTCATTCATGATTGGTTCACTTACCCATCCAACCAGGTGCACATGTACAGGAATACGCATTAATTAGATCGTTACAGGTACCGCCGTTGAGACAGGGATTTGACTGACACTCATCAATGTTGATTTCGCAGTCGGCACCGGTGAAACCTAGGACAAAGGCAAAGTGGACACTAGAATGAGAGGCTGTCAGGTGATGTTTTCGGAAGCTAAACAGGAATTCACCAGTATAACAAAATTACCTCTTCTAAGCAGATGTAAAATGGTGTAATACAGTAATATAGTTTGTTATAAAGTTTGTTAAAACATGTGAAAGAAATTTAAAGGTGAGGAGTTGACAAACATATTGAGAATTCATAATCTAATTAGAGTGATTTACTGTAGAATACTTTATTTCTACTTGGAATTTATTTTCGCTATTTTCGCTGAAGAGATGACTCAGTAACAATAAAATCTAGCAAATATACTTTTTTTTCTATATTTCATTCAACTCAACTCATCTGGACCAAACAACCTTTTTCAGCGAGAATTAATTCCTGCTAAAACAAAGTATTTTACAGTATATAGTGAATACTGTGAAAATACTTCAAAATTTTGAGTATTAGATTTTAGTTTCCTGGATTTGCAAGTTCCATTTGTTCACATGCATTTCAGGTATCAGAAAAAAATTAACGACTTTAAAATACGGTGAATAATTAATGAGCTTACAGTACCCAAATTGTGGGTAAAGAAAATCAAGTTAACACAACAGTCTCTGATTGGCTAGCTGTTTAGCAGGTGTTGAGTGATAAGCCAATCAGAATCAATATTATAACTTGTTACTTGCAATAATTCAAGAAGCATATTAAATAATCTTCTTACCGGCCGTGCATGTGCACACGTATCCTGCTACCCTATCTTCACAGAATGAGTTATGTTGACATGGGTTACTTTCGCATTCATTGATTTCCGTCTGGCAAGTCGTTCCGATGTATCCATCGGCGCACGTACAGTTGTATCCACCCAGAAAGTCATTACACGTGGCACCATTTAAACACTGGTTTGGTATGCAGTTATTTGCAAACTGGCAGTTTTTACCTAAGATACATAGAGATAAATTTATTCTGATATTAGTACATATAGATAGATAGATAGATAGA